TATTCATAAAACACATACTATGCTTTGTATTCACCTATTTCAGGATGCCTTCAATCTTGTCATAAGGACTTGTTACAATTGGTACAGAGAGAGAAAATATTGCTTATGACTGAGTGCTACAAAGACATAAGCAAGAAAAAATGAACATGCCACATTGTTGTGTATTATCAGTTTCTTCCACCTGATATAAGATCATATGATGCAATGCTCTTGTCATCAGAATAAACCTGTTCATTAATCTCTGATCCTTGGAGTAATCAGTTCTCAAGACACCATATGGACCAGTCCAGTCAGAACCAAGTTGCTTACACATTGCATGCATGAACCAACAAACCCATTCATCAGCCTATCACAGCCAACCTTAACGTGTGGTCGCTTTATCCATTAGCTGATGCACATAAGTTATCACAGATTACAGTTTTTGCATTATCAATGTCGACAGCGTGGGACATTTGCACTGTCCATACATCAGATCCACTAAGAGTGTGTATTTCTTGTCTGAACCAATTGACTATTGGGCAGTTTTATAGGATGCCATCATGACATAGGATGGGTGCTTGACTCAATCAGTTCAATCAAAGTTAACAAACCAACAAGCAAATACTTGATAGTTTGCACAGCACATTCAACCAAGCTAACAAACTGATTATAATATGGTAAAGTGTACATTTTTACCACACTTAATAATCAGCACAACTCTACAAATTACTGGTACTGTAAATATTTTTTTTGTTGTGAACTTTCACGCAAAACTACTTAAGGGCTGCCTGTGCTAGCCATCACTAATTTCAAAGTGACAGACTAGAGGGTAGCTGGTCAACAACACCCACCACCAACTCATTGGGCTACTCTTTACCAACAAATAGTGGAATTGAGTCTCATCATAATGTTTCCGCAGCTGAGAGGGCAAGAATGTTTAGTGATGGCTATATTGAAGATGGCTCCTAAATCTGTTTTGATTTATACCAGCACTCCGAAGCATGCAGTCCATTTGAAAAAAAGTTGAGAAAAAACGACCTTTAAACTCCGGATTTATATAAAATAGTATATATTTTAACCAACGTTTCACCTTTGCGGCTTCATCAGGGTTAATATACATAACTCTTCAATATTAGAATATTCATTAAATTATAAAACTGCTTGTAATGTTCTATTTCTCGAGTCTGCCAGAACGTACGTCTAACAATATATGTATTATAATTGTTGTATCATTATTGTTTTAATATTATAGTTAGAATACTAACTGTACAGCTGCACTAACATATGACATATATTACTTTTATATGATATTGTTGCGTCAGTGAGGTCACGTGACTAGAAATATCCTGTTTCTTCAAGAATGTGTTAGTCTTGTATATATATATAAGACTGTCACAACGTGATGGAAAAACAGTGTAATGAGTAATTGAATGTATGCGGACAAAATATTGTTGGCCACGTGAGATATAGCGTTTGTTATAGCGCGACTGATGAAAATAAGTGTATCGTAAAGTTGTATTCGGAAAGAATAAACCAGTTTTATTAAGTAAGGACTTGTGTCACTTAAGTTTCGTCAGAACGAAGTTACGGAAAATCAACTAACGACTGGAGGCGTAACAACATATAAAAATAAAGAAAATTACAACATATTTTATGATTAGCTAAAAAAATACATAGACGTAAAATAGAAGCTGCTAAGAAAAAAAAATGGAAAGGATACAAAATTTACCATCAGGGTTAAAAACAAATTGCAAGACAGTGTGATACTCCAGAGTACGCAAGTGTTAAACTGAAAGTAATAGTGTCAAGTGTGTTCCTATGATGTGTTGTTTTTTGAATGGAATCATGGCGTTTAGTTACATGTATCACCCATTGTCTGTTCGTCTTTGGATTTTTTGTTTGTTAATGAGTACAGCTGCCATATATTTTAACTTTTTGCAGTCTTTTTTTTTTGTAAGATAGAAACTTTAAAGGGGTTTTCTGTGTTTGAGGTTCCATTTTTGTATAGGAAGTGTTCTGCTGGAGCGGTTTTATGTTGGTCATACGTTTATAATACACTGATTGTTCCGAGATGCGCATGTCAAAAAAAAAAAAATCTTTCAGTTTCTCCTATATATATGCATCTCCGCATATATTACATATGATTTGACAGACCACGCTATTGATGTGGCACATTTGTACTGCTCCGTTTTTTCTGGTGTGGCATTGTTTTTGGTACATTTTGTTTGTGAGTATTAAGAGTAAACAAATAGTTCTTTCAATGTTTTACCTGGTTTTGTGTTATGTTGATTGTGAGCTGGTATTGTTTAATGGCTTTACGAATCCTGTTTGAGATTGTGTTGTTTATGAAAGGAATATTCATTGTGGGCATTTTCGTGTATATTTTTGGATCTGTTGCTGTTGTAATGTGTTTGTTTGTAATTTGAAAGCATTGTTGATGTAATATTCGGGGTATTCGTTTTGTAATAGTAGTGTTTTAAAGTCATTTTGTGCTGTTTGGATATCATTCGGCGTGGAGCACTTTCAATTTATTCTCTTTCATTCTCCTATTATTGTTTCCCTTTTGATTTGTAATGGAGAAATATTGGTTTCTTGCATTCTTTGTTGTGCATGAAACTCCATATTTGTCTGTCTTGAATTTTTAGAGCAACGTTTAAGAACATTAAGTATCCTTCTGCGTTGGGTATTGTGAACTTGACTGATGAATGGAAGTTGTTTAGGAAATAGTAAAAATGCTGTAGTTTCATATCCATGATTCCATGTACCTAATATGTCATCGATGTATCGGTACCACACTTCTGGTATTAAACCTTTTTTTTTGTCTATATGTATTAAGGGCTTTGGTTTCTAGTGTATGCATGAATATTATATCAAATGTGACAGCTGTTACCCATTGCTACTCCTTTCTTTTATTTGTATAAAGTGTCTCTAAATTTAAATAATGTTAAAACAATAATGTTACAATAATTTGTACATTGTTAGACGCCCGTTATGGCAGACTCGAGATATAGAACATTACAAGCAGTTTTATAATTTAACGCATATTCTAATATCAAACATTTGTGTATATTAACCCTGAGGATGCCTCAAAGGTGAAATGTTGGTTAAAATAAAAATAATATTCTTTTTTGGAGTTTAAAGGTCGTTTTTTTCAAAACTTTTTCTCAAAATGTATAAATCCCTCCAGTTACAAACTGTACTAACAGATTGATAAGGGATAAGTTGTGTTCCTCTTGGAACTGATTACCTTCACCTAGGGGTTATTCTCTTGATAAGGAAACTCTCAACTGTCTTATTGTAATTTTTCCATAGGTATCCAGTTCTTATTCTGAGCAATACATATAGTACAATGTCTATTGCTCAATGTATTTGTAGAAATGTAGCCTCTTCTTCTTCACATTCACTGCAATTCATGAAATTTTCTGGTACCCTATAGTCTTTAAATGATACATAGTTTTAACTATTTCCTGTCTTTGACCTCTGGGGATCATTAAGTGCATCACAGGCTGGTTACGTCCCTGTGGTGCATAATGATGGTACAACATGTCATTCTAGACTTGTAATTAATTATACAAGTGCCAGATCTTTCGTGACTAAATACTATATTTGTCAGTTTGAGATAGTTGCACTTAACCCTGCAAGTAACATCCACATTATATCTAGGTACTTCAGTTATTCCTCCTACAGTTCCTAACTAGCCATTTATGATATCCAACCAAATGTAGAAATGCCACAAGTTATGTAGTTTGTTATTACTGCTACTACAATGGCTTTGGCTGGTGCTTCAAACAAAGTATGTTTGAAGGATTGGATGAGTTGTCTTCCCACTCCTGTGGACACACAAAGTACATAGTGGATTTCTCATTTAGTCTGAGACTGTGGCCAGTCTTTGACTGCTATTAACCTTTGCAAGTCCAGTGGACACTCAATTCCTACTCACAAAATGATCGCAAAACTTGACTTTCATGCACAAAAACGCATACTTTTCTAGTTTAAATTTCACTTTTATAAACTAATTCAGGTATGAATGAACGATCTGTTATTCTGTATACTAAGACCTTGAATGAATCTCTAATTGTTGCAAAGATCAAGTAATTATGTACTAGGTCTGATTTTGAAAATAACACATACCAGTTTTTAAAATATTTTTAAGGACTTATATGTGTGAATTTTAACTCATATTTATATAATTTATTAAGTTTTAAAATCATTAGGTTACAGTCATCAGAAAAACATTCACAACAGATTGGAAAAAATGATACTCGTGACACTACTTCCAACTATAGTAATAATTTTAAATGGTGATTACAGAAAAAATAAAAAATTTACCATTCTGACACTGTTGTTAGAATGTGGTTTTGTCCTGAATGTACATTTGTTATTTTGTGATAGTGAATAAACTATTCTAAATGGATAGCAGTCATAAGATTAAAATTTTATTAAGACTTAACAAACTTCTTCATGCTCATAGCAGTTACACAATAACTAGGAAATCATGGCAGTAAAAAGACAAATCAAGTAATATGGCAGTGTTGCATACAGTAACATTTTAAGATACTCTGAGAAAACACTATCAAAATAAAGTTTATATTCCCTTAAATAAAATGTAGCTGTAGAACCTTGAAATGAATAGACCTTGTATCTTATTATTCTTTACTTGGTTGTACGTAGGACAAAAACATATAATAAACAAATTTGTTAATAATATTTAGTCCTTTGCAATTAAAGCATAAGTTATTAATAATTGGAAGCATTACAATGATACAAGAACAAATTATTTTCAGCTAGTAAACAGCAATATCATACTGGAAGAAATAAAAAATATTGCCAACTATGAACAAGTTTACAAAAAACTATCTCAGTATTTGCAAGTGTTAAGTTTATGGTTGAGTTCTGTAATAAAAATACTAAAAGTTTCTTTAATAATAAAACCACTATTCTAATCAGCTAACAATGTGTATGTTTAGTATTGTTCAGAAAAAACTAATAGGAATTCTGAAATTCCAATTAATATGATTCAATATAAAAAGAAACTTTGATGTAAAGGTTCTAGAAATCATAATTTATACAGCACATAAACAATCATTGTTGTCTTTGTATAAAAAACTGTTGTAAATATCCAAAAGTAATACATAGTAATGAAACACAGAAACCATTATACAAAATGGCATAATTTTTTTCTTCAAAATATCAACATATATGTATGCTTAACACAAAAACGTTAAAGTAATACAAGTATTTGAACTGTTATTCATCATTATTTTCAAACAAAAACTTTACTCAAATTCATATCAATAAGCACCATCAAATTTGATAGGAGACAAATAAAAACATACAATCAAAATAAGCTCACAGTCTTTTTTTGTTTAAAGAATCTTAACACACAATTATTGATCATTCATGAAATCAATCTACATTCAATTATATTTTAAGAATATAAGAGCACTTTTATTTTCAAATATTAGAGGGCTTATGATGTGTAATAAATCTGAAAAGAAACATAATTTTGTAATAAAAGTTGAAGTTTATCCACAAATAAGATCTAGCAATAAAGCCTGTTAAGTTCAGTACAAGAATAAAATGTGAAGTTTTGACACATGTGTAAAATAACAAAGTAAAATGACTACTTTCCATAGTGAAACAATGCAAGTCTAAAACACGTCTAATAACAAGAATCAATTTCATTCATTCTTTTTTCTCTTATCAATATTTTTAAAGTTTTGGCAATAGGAAATAAAATCTGAAAATTAAAGTGGCTGCCATTTTCTTATAATTTTATTCTATAATGACCACAATGAGTCGGGAATACCAAATTTACCAAGAGTTGAAGTGTCTAAGTTTCATAGTTGAGGATACAAAATCATAAACAAACCTGTGATATGCTAGAATCTGATGAACTCCTTTAGTTAAGAATGTTCATTTGCTGCACTTAAAGTTTATGATCCTTTTTCCCATGAGCTCTGATTACACAGATAAAATCCATACTAACCAACTATATACTTATCAGAACAATCTGTTTGAGTACTATGGTAAAATGAGCTATGATGTAGCTACCACTGTTCACTTAATGTCAGCCAAGTGACATATTTTATGAATACCATAATAAATTTAATGTAATGTTGTCCAGTATCTATTAATGCTTAATAAAATAGGAAATATGGCATTAAAAGCATAATACTGAAATACTGTAGTATTGTTATCAATAATTTATAAGCACTGGTTTCAACCAAGCCTTGAACTGTAAATACAACTTAAACTAGAACCACAACTGATTACTCAGTTTCCCCTTTTGAGAGAACAATTGTAAAATTTTTGAGAAATAACTATATTATTCTTATTTTATGAGACTTAAGTAGACATTATTCAAGGAAATATCCTCTTTAAAAGATGTAATTTCATTATAATCTTTGTATTTTTTTTAATTAGTTGTGAGATTTGTTTAATATCTAAAACTTTTTATTACAGAACAACATAAGTAAGAAATTATTATACTTATTGAATAATACCCATCAGTGAATAGATTTTTAATTAGTGGCTAGTTGAGAAATAATAAACTAATATGGGGACCCCCAGAATACTGGACAGACCTCATAAGTCCAATGGACTTCAAAACGTTCAACATTAATATCATTCCTAAAAATATAGTACCTAAAAAAATTATTTTGGCTCTTACACATTTTAATTTAAAGAACTCTTCAACAAATGTTTGTGATAAAAAATTTTTGTAATTGTCAGAATCCTAAAACAAAAACAAAAAAATCACTGGAACCTAAACTATTTATGAAAACTCATGGCTAATATGTGGTCTCTTTATACAAACTGCACACCTGCTAACTCGAGTTCTCAGATTTCCTGCTTTAAGAGTCTCACTCAATGGTCTTTCAAATTGAGCTTTTGAATCCACAGTTGTCAACCAAAAGCTGAATTTATTAGCGAAATAATGGCAACTGCCCCGAGCTCCATTACATTCAATGAATGGAGTAGCCCGAAAATCTTCCAGACAACTTCCCGGACTAGAAAGTGATTGACCTCCTCCTTCTGCTCCAGCTGCTGTGTGCTAAAGAATAATTATAAAAACTTTTATATTTATAAGTAATTAACCGCATAAGTCTGCATAAAAGTTAAGATTTTTTTTTATTTCATAATTTAAAATTAAAACAATGAACCTAAGCTTAAAAAACTTTGGCTTGCAAGGTATATGGGATTTATTAAACTACAAAAAAAAAGATCATATTGCAGGAATTACTACATGTAACTTACTTGATGATGTCTCAACACTATGGGTTGAAACATTGCAATTATTAAAATCAGAATTACCTACTGTAAAAGTTACTGATATTGTATTTTTGAATTAATTATTCAGTTCAGTAGGTTCCTCACTAAACAAAAAAAAAATAGAATCATTTACATTATCATTAATATATTTTTTCCAGATCATCTTGAACTGAAACTCCTTGAAAATCTATTACTTGTACATTATTACTTTGATAGATTGTTTAGGCAGAGTATTCATGATGAAACTTTGTAGAATTGATAGCAACTGCCTGTTGTAGAGACACAAGTGTAGAAGACGACGTTTCGAAAGTCATCTGCCTTTTGTCTTCAGGTCAGTGTGTGTAAGGTCTTTATAGAATACTATAAGTGTACTAGAATATTTTTGAAATGTCCAAAAATCGTCGATTCCACAAAGTTTCATATATTATTACTGTTGTAAATTACTTAATTGTCTACTCATATCCAATAAAACTTTCACTAAGATTATCCTTTAATTACTGTAATATGATAATTGCTACTTTAATGTTGAACTAATGGATCTCTATAAAGACATATTAAAGGGTTTGATAATAAAGCAAATTATATATATCCTTAAGGCTTTATAGGATTAGAAATATCTTAACAATGGATTATAGTAACAGAAGTAGACTTAACAATACTCATGTTTAAAAATAAGTATAGTCATACATTTTACAATCTCAGCATAACTATGTAACTCAAGTTACAACACTAAACAACATTTCCATAAATATGTTTTGATATACTGATAATACCTACAGCATAACCTGAAGATGAACAAGTGTTTCCAAATACAAAACATCAAGTTACTTTGTAAGATTATTGATATTTTAAGTTACAAACAAGACTCAGGAACAGTTTAAACACTATCAAAACAATGTATTTCGCACATCCTGCTAACACCAAGCAAAGTCAGGCTTTATTGAAAAACAATGATAATTAGGAATCAGTCATTACAAATCATGATAAAATTAAAGCATCAAAATATTAAATTGCTAAGCATTTTAAAACACCCAATTTAGTACATTCATAATAAATATGGGATATTCTATTTGCAACAACTGATGTGAAGTTCCATAAGAAACCTCTATCAAAATAATGTTTAAAGAGTATACAGAAATAATGTTTTTCAAAATTCAGTTTAATGCAAAGAAACAAGGAACCCAAAATACTCAACCTGGTATTATGTTTAAAACAAATCCATCTTTTATTTTTTGATAATCTTCATTTTATAATTGGAATATGAAATGTTTCTAACTGTACTATTAAATAAACCACACATACCATAGCAAAACTGTAGCCTATCCACAGGTTATACCAGCCTTGAGGGCAATCTGGGACTTGAAGTGACTGACTATGGATAGCAATAACATTAGCTGGTGCCTCACAAACCACACAACGACTAATGTACTGTCGAATAGCATTCTCTGAAACCGGCATCATAGGAATAGGAGCAGTTGTTGATAACCAATAAGATTTGTCATTCCTACTTGCATAATTGCAAACGTTGTTGAAGTCACAGAAAAGGAATGGCATGGAACTGAAACGGGATAAACAGGAACCAGCATAACCTAAAAAATTTAATGATGAATTAAAAATATCAAATCTTTAAAAACAATTTCCTGAAATTTGTTTGAAATATCCATTTTTATTTAAACTTATATCTACTGGTAGATCTACTGTTTAATATGGTTAATTGACTAACAAGTGAACTACAATGTTTACAATAACAAATAGTGACACAGTTTTCTTACTTACCCAGATCCTGATTATGTGACTTTTCATTGCCTTCAATATACAAAAGGCTATATCCATCCCAAACTTTGGGCATACCCTGTGGACACTGAGGAACACTAATAGATTGACTGTGTCTAACCAGAAGAAAACCCATCAGGTAATCTCCATAACCTTTCCCTGGTAGACCTGGGGGTCCTTGTGAACCTTTTTCACCTGGATAACCTCGTATTCCTGGTAGTCCTGGTAAACCAGGATTTCCTTTCATTCCTTCAGGCCCTGGAAAACCCCGAAGGCCTACAAGACCCGGTTGTCCAGAATCACCTTTCACACCTATAAACCAAATCACAAGATACACATAATAGTCTGGTAATGGTCTCCATCTATAGTGAATTATATTTAATTTTATTGATTATATCAAGTTTCACTTCGTATTTATAATGTGCATTTGAAAATTCCCAAAAAATTACATACCACCCTGCTTAATATCATGTTTACAAAACATATGTTTAATATCATGACTTCAGGATTTTAAGCATTGCACATGTTAAAAATATTGGATACCAGGCATAGAAAGGTAACAAACTTAAGAAAATATATATTATCAAGATGTAGTTTTCAATTAGAAAGAGATTTTACATAACATTCTAACTTATCAAACTGATATATTAGTATAAAGGTAAAATAAGAAGTAAAATTAAAATTATAACTGTAAAAATAGAATTGCACACCCTATAACTTTCTTATCCTAATGATCTCCAATAACAGTTGATATGTTCTCCTTGAACCACAAAATTTAAAACCATACAGTTTATAACACACCTGGAATGCCTGGTCTTCCTGGTAGTCCTCTTTCACCTTTTCGTCCAGGGACACCTGGTGGACCTGGTTCTCCTTTCATACCTTTAATAACATCTTTTACTATTCCCTTTGATCCTTTTGCACCTTTATCTCCTTTGAGTCCTGTAATTAATCAGTGACAGTTTATTGTTCCTTAAAGCTACAAAATGGTTTTTCCAACCAATATTGAGATATACAAGTTAACTGTCTAAAATGTTTTCTCTTTTTTTGAGGAATCATAAGAAATGCTTCAAGATATCTCCTTGCCACTACACTTTGTCTTAAAATCCCATAAAGACTATTTTACATGAGTGTAAAGCGCTCAAGAATGAATAGTGATAATGAATTTCTTCAGTTTTTGAATCAATTTGTTAGACTTGAAGTACATGAAATCTTCAGAATGATAAGATAATTGTAAAGATGAAAGTCTAAATTTCATATGTGAGAGTAGTCAAGTTCTAAAAACAAAAGTAAAAAAAACATGTAGGGGTGAACATAAGAGTGAGTTTCCACTTTTTTTTTCTGTTTTTAAGTCAAGGTGATGCATTCCTAAGCCACTTCTGAATGGTTAGTAATTGAACAATGCAGCTCAGTTAATATAAAAAATGTCTTGTACTGTACAATAACTTGCCTAACGATTTCTTTTGTCTTCTGTTCTCCCATAAAAGTAATACTGCTGACTATGTTATAAGGTTTTAATGTGTAAGTTTATTGCATAACCTTACAAAAATTGTTTGATTTCTATTTTACATTATAAGCATTGAACTTTTTTTGTTGTTGCTTGGGGAGGGGTGAACAGTTATTACTTTTTTTGCTGTCCCTTCTTCAGCAGCAGACCGTGATGGGCTTTATTGGGCTGAATTGTACAACAGCTTTTTGGTCTTTCACTTTGATAAACTGGCTATTACTGGGATTGCAGAGGGTTTCTTAATTTGACCTGATGTTGTAGCTTTACTTAGCTTGATCTTTCTGTGTTCTTCTTGTTTCTGTTGCAAGGCCTTATAGGTAGTTCTCATGTTTCTTCAGAGTATAAGATTAACATGATTATGTAGTGGTTCACTTTCTACAATTAGACTTGGCATTTTCAAATCATGAAATGCCAGTGACACGAGAAAAGAGAAAGCATACACAGAGCAACAATAGGCTGAATAATTCTTCACCAGTCAATCATCTATTGTGTAAAAAACGAATATAAAACATGCTTTCTGGCAGTTGCAAACCAAAGTATTGCAAATCTGGATGAGCATTCCCGAGTTTCCCTTCACAGAACATAAAAAATTGCCAAAGTTTCCCCCAAAATATTATACATATGCCAATAGATACTGGAAATATCAATATATATCTTGAAGTTAGAGAAGGTTGTTGCAACTATATTTAAAACAAAAACCTCAGAAACTATACAACATTGTCAAAAATACTACATTACATACCACACTGTTATGTACTGCCAGTTTCTTGCACCTGATATAAGATGATATGACACAGTGCTCTTGTCATCAGAGTAAACCTGCTCATCGCACTACACTATTGATGTAACAGCTATGATTTACATATACAGTTATGTTGATGACCTTGATTTGATCTCCATCTGTGTGCTTACCATTTAATGTACTGTGATACACCAATGAATGTTGCCACTAGTTCATTTGACCACTTCATGTTCATTTGTTCGTGGGTCATCTATGAAGGAATGCAGGGTGTCATGTCAGTTTTATTGCCAGTAATTTATTACTTTCTTTGGATGTGTATAGGCTGAACTGTGGGCAGAAACTTAACTATATGATACTGCTCTTTGGACTCAGAACTAATTACAAATGGGTGAGGTACATGTATTATCTGCTTTCAATAGATGTTAATTTAGAAAATATTAGTTTCTATATGACAGGGAGTTCTTGTTCATAAAGTAACATATGATTTGCATTCAGTATAAGAGGATCAGAAAAAAAGTGGAAATCTCTAGAAGTGCAAAATTTCTAATGCCTGAAAATTTCAAATTCTCATGTTAAGCTATTTCTTGTAAGGACTATAAAAATACTAAAAATGTAATTAGATAACATGTACCAGGTGGGCCACGAGGACCAGGTGGTCCTGGAAATCCTCTTTCTCCATTTAACCCTGGTAAGCCAGGCTGTCCAGGAAATCCTCGTTCACCTTTATCTCCTTTCTCTCCAGATACACCTGGCAATCCATCCAAACCTAGAAAAACAATAGTTTGCTACTAAACCAATGTGAGCCAAACAAATATTTCAACATTTTCTGAAGCAAATACATTTTACTTATCAGTACATGTAAATAGCTTTTAACCCCTTCTGTGATTTGTCCAAGGTAACTCGGGCACTCTCCATGTTTCAAAAAATATTTGCCACTTCTTGCTAAATGGTATTGGAAATGCAATTTATGCATATCTCTATCAGATTTCTTCTGAATTAGGTATCATAAACACCGGAGAAACTGTAGTTTCATTGACACAATATATAACATATATATAAATCCAGATATGTAAAATCTATTTATTCAGTATAATATTGTACAGAAATATAATAACAGATAATAAAATAACTTTGTTTCGTTTTTATATATAAGCATAGGCTACCATAAAGTGAAATAAAAAACCTGAATTTTTTTAAGTCATTTCCATAAAAAGCCTAACACAAAAGGGGTTACTGCTGTTTCATATCAAACATTAAATTTGAAAATAGCTAGATTACTAATACAACAATACTAAAAGACATTGTACAATAGGTTTATAAAAACTGATACCAATATAAACTTTGGATAATAAAATAAGCTTCATCCACCTATGATAGTCTTAAGATGATGTTTCAAACTTCTTAAACAAATCTTCATCAAGTAAATGTAAGAAGGTTACAGATATGTTAAATAGTAGAACATATATCTGGCTGTAAGAGAGAAAGAGCCAAGTGTTGAATCACAGCATGCTAAAGACTGAAATAATGTTGAAAATAACTGGAGAAGAGGGTATTATGTTGGAGTATTCTATGTTTGTTGACTGTATTAGTGGAATAGTAGCATCAGTTTACTAATTTTCATATCTTGGTCTCTGTTAGGTCTTAGATGGGTCACGTGAACATTGAAGATTCTTTTACTTTTTCTGATTTTCCACAGAAACAAACTCAACTCAAACAAATGGCCTAACATTCACAACACTTTGAGCTGCTGCAAAGACATCCATCTTTCATAAATTTGGTTTGGCTTTTACATTCATTGATTCAGGCCTCAGATGTCCACTTGTCTCATCATCAGTGTTCAAGTTATCATATTTCAATAAATATTTGTATTCATCTTGTTTTTCATCATGGATCCTTTGGAATTTCTGGTGTTGAGAAGCTTCTGTATAAGGCTGAAACTGGATTTTAAGAGAGTAAAGAAGTTCTATTAGAAAAGAATGCCTCTTGAGTTTGTGGCTGAAAGTAGGAATGTAAAGAAGGATAGTTGTGTCAGTGGTTTTTGTGATCTTTGACTTCTAGCATGAATTTTTCAGTTTCTAGACAATTATTAATAAATTTGTTTGAGTATTCATTAATTAAGAAGAAAGCAGATAAGTGGATTAGTTCATATTAACATAACATAATGCTTTGGGACAATATGGGACCTATTGGTCCATCATGGATGTTCCATCCTCTAAACTAAACTGAAACTATTAATAAAAAAATCTTAAATCCAGCCCTTATCATTCATATACTTATCAAGCTTTTTTTAAACTCACTAAAATTTACTACCTACACAATATCCGAAAGCAACTCTTTCCAAAGGCTAACCACCCTGTTAGAAAAATAATACTTTCTCAGCTGAAGATGACTCCTACCTTGCCAAAAGTTATGTGTCTCCTAGTCCTACTATCCTCACTATTAAGTATGAAAAAAGATAATGCATCAACACTATCAATTCCCTTTACAATCTTAAACACCTCAATCAGATCCCCCCCTAACTCTTCTTTTTTCAAGAGAAAACAATTTGAGAGATTTCAATCTCTTGTTGTATGACAACCCCTCCATCCCAGGCACCATTCTAGTAATCCTTCTCTGAATCCTTTCCAACAATTCAATGTCTTTCCTTAGGTAAGGAGCCCAAGACTGAACACAATATTCCAAATCTGGCCTAACCAGTGACCTATACAATGAAATTATAATCTCTTTAGACTTGTATTCAATATTGAATTGAATATTCAAGACTGAACACAATATTCCAAATCTGGCCTAACCAGTGACCTATACAATGAAATTATAATCTCTTTAGACTTGTATTCAATACTTCTATAGATACAACCTAAAATCCTATTTTCCTACCAATAGCAGCAGTGCACTGCTTGGATGGCTTTAGAGATTGATCAACAATTACACCATGATCCATTTCTTTCATGAAACTGTGAAGGTTATTCCCATCTAAGTTATACATATAATTCAATTTATAATAACTTACATGCATTGTCTTGTATTTATTATAATTAAAACAAACCTGCCATTTATTTGCCCAACTCACTAAATGATCTAAATCCTTTTGTAAATCA